ATATATATAAGAGTGCATATATGTGCACTGAATAAGTGCAAAAAGAAAGAAGGCAAAAATCGCGAACGTGGAAGACTAAATGGATGACGCTGCAGGAAAACTTTATTATATTCTCTTGCTGTTATGTTTTCAATTGATGAGGGTCTATCTAATATACTCTATCTCACACGTTCAAATTTAATAAAAAATTAATATTTTACAATTTTATAATTATTTTCTTAATTAGTTAGTCATTTTACACAAAGAAACAAGGTAATCACTTAAGATATTAATGCATTTCTCTTTCTATTCATATTGTTAAAAAGGCGGTTGCTTAGCAACGAGCTCAGTAATGGCAGATTAATTTTTTTAATAATTAAAATGCCGTAGCTAAAACTTTTGATAATTAATTTCGATTACTTTTTTTTTGAGAATTATCAGCATATGTACTTCTGATACTGATTCGATATTTTTTATTAATGTAAATCTCTCTCTAATATTATTTATTTATGTGAAGCTGAAAGAAAAATTCGATCTATTTATATATTTATTAACATATGCAAACTAAAATCGTTACTATGCACGATTGAAAAGATCAGAGAAACAATTCTTTCCAGTGAATATCGATTGATTATTTGTTACTAATCGAGAAGAATCTTCTCTTAAATAATTCTTAGTTATATATTTGATTTTTGCTTGAAAATCTCTATATATAAATATATATTTCTTCACTATGTACATTGAATAATGTAATTACTTTTCTATTCTTCTTCAAATATAAATTCAATTTATTTGAAAAGTCCAATCTTTTGATTTGTAATTGATAATTTCAATGAACATATTCATTTACTTACACAAGACATATATTGACAATGAACAAACATTTAAAAAAAAGAGAGTAAATGCTATCATTGATGACATGTTCTTTGTTTATTATAAAAGACGTATTGGTGAAAATTTTGTATTACCATTTGATATGAACGGAAAAAAAATGTTTTTGTTATCTATTTTATTATCACACAAAATATATTTTTTAATGGGTAAGTTCTTTTTTTTTTGAAGAAATTCTTAATCGAAAGGTTCAATACTAACTACTCGTGTCATTGTCATATGATCATTCGGATTATTATTTATCATGAGTGGACGTTTTGATACACCAGTTTTTGTAGGTGGTGGTGTTGGTATTCTTTCTTGAGTATTTCTATTACCGGTACGATGATGTATAGTTGGAAAAATACGATTTGGTTCATTTAAATTAACTGGACGACGATAATTATCGACATCCGAATTTTGTCGGTTACTAGCTGGTTGCATATTACGTGTAATTGGTGGTATAGGTCGTCGATTACTATTCATACTACTTTGTTTTGTTGGACTTTCTCGATCTATAATTGATGAAAGATTTGAATCATTACGTTGTGGATAAGGACCACCAGGTATATCCATATTTGTTTCAGGTGATTGTACTAATCGAACTGATTTAAGTATAGAAGGTGGACCAGATTGTCCAGATCTTGATGATAGAGGTAGAATACGACGTGCAGGTGTTACAATTCTTTGTTGAACGGGATTGTCATATAATTGACTTAATGCACGAAGACTTTCCGATGCTACTGTTGGTTCATTAAAAACATCGGGTATATATGCTGATCGTACAGGTGTTGGATGTTCAACTCGATTTTCATATAATTCCGGTACAAGATCAATATATTGTGTTTTAAATGTTTTCCATTTTTCTGTACGTTTGATTTTTTCTGCATGACGATTAATTAAACGTATACATGCTAATTTAAGTGCTTCCGAACTTGCTTCATGTGCACATATTAACATTTCAATAGCATTATCAACTGTTAAACGATATAGAAGAAAATCAGCTATTTGTTTTTTTAATTTTTCTAATTCAAAACGTTTTGCAACTATTAATAAATCCGGTGCATTTTGTAATGTTATTAAACAACGATTTGTATACATAAAATTTAATATTTCATTCATAACTTCTGAATGAATATCATCAATACTTATTTGTAAAACATAATCATCATTGGTATTTGATTCATGATATTCAGCAATAAGATGACGAAACCATGATGAACGTCCACCTAGTTTTTTAAGAAACAAAAAATAGAAATTTATTATTATTAGAATTTATTATTTACCAAGAACACATCGATGTACTTGAAGTTTAACATCATCTTGACATTGAATTAATGTATCATAAAATAAACCATTTCTTAATACACTAAATAAATCACCTTCTAAATCTTTTAATCCATATAAATTCCGTTCACTTTCAATTTGTGCATCTCGAGCAGTAGGTAAACCATTTTGATCGTAAGCATACATTGATGGTGTTTGATTTGATATAGAACCACTTACGGAATATATATCATCACCATTTTCAAGAATTGAACTTTCAGATCCATCACGTTTTATACCAAATTCATCGACACTTATCGAATTTTGTGTATCAGCTATTGATTTATATATAATTTGTTCATTTTCACCACAATTTTGTAAACGTAAATGATAATAAAGTCGTTCTCGTTTACAATAATAACGTATAACAAATGTTGCACTATTACAAAACGGACATAACGCTCGAAGACGAACACGACCTGTTGTTGTAGGTTGTGCTTGTTGTTTTCTATATGATACAAGCATACCAGGTGCTGATTTATTTTGATTATCAATATTAATTCCGTTATTTATATTGTTTGTTGATATTGGATCAAGTAAAGATTCATCTGTAACTTGAAATGGAATTAATGATCGACATCGTTCACAATGAAGTGATTCAAATAGAAGATATCCATGACAAGTACAAATTGTTTGAATTGATATAAACATTATTAAATGGTAACACAAAAAAAAATAATATTTTCTTCTTGTTACTTCAAATTTTCTTTTTCTTGAATAGAATTATGATGTTTGATTAATATGGAAACAAAATTGAATATGAAATTTTCTCCTCCCACTTTTTCTTTGTTTGTTGATTATTAATAAAATTTTATAAGGTATCTTTTTTTTGTATTATCGGTATTCATATACCTTTTATTCGGAAGAAAAAAAAGAATCATAAGACCTTCATACATTGATTGGTAGCTTTCATTTTATCAAAATAAATCGTTGATGATAAATATACTACGATTAGTCATTTAATGCAAAGATTTAAATTTTTATTTTATCTGATATTCATCATGAGTTCTGTTTTATATAAGATAATTGATTCAGATCATGTATACTGGTATATATGGACATGCTTTTGATTAAGGAGCTGCGAGTCCACGTTTTTGTTTTTTTTATGTGCTTGACTAAACCAATAGGTTTATATATTAGTTATTTATTGGCGACTCTAAGAATAAACATAAAGAAAAAGCTTTTTTTTCTATTTTTTTTCACGTGACTGTATTAGCGATCGAAGCTAAATTCAAATTAATGCAAACCGGATCGGAACTAAAATCAAGATATGGGCGCGGAAGGACCCACAGCTTCCTACTTTTGATAATGGGCTTGTGTAATTTATTAATTTGATTCGATATGGATAGAACTGTAATTGATATTAGAATCTCACTTGTATATTTAAATTATTATATAATATATAAAAATGGCGGAATATTCTAATAGTAATAACATAGAGCGTGCAAATCTAAAGAAACAGTGTGTCTGTAATATTAACAATAAAATATGTATGACGTAATTATCTAATATTGACAATATTACATATTTGTTCAAGCAATTTCTATACAATGATGATGATTATATGACTTTAAATGTGATAGATTTAATTGAATTCTATCTAGTCAACCGTATTTTTTTACTCGTGCGTAAGATCTGTTTTTTTATTGATTTAAATCTATTCAATTCTAGATATTTTATTATTTTGCTAAAATTAAATTCACACTGGCGTCGTCAACTACAGATAATAAGTTTCTTCTATCAGACGAGAAACAAGATTTAAAACTTATTCCAATTAATCCAAATGTATGTTTTGCAACAACAACTTCAGTATCATCTATAAAGAATTCTAATCAAACAAGAATATCAACATCATGTAATTTAAATACATCTACTTTTGTACCAATGATTGATCTTCATGGAAAAAAATATTTTCCTGTTTATTTAAACCAACCAAGCGATGATAAAGATCAGGTATTAAAGTATTGTTTTTTTTGTTTTTAAATCTTGATATATATAATTTTAGATAAATACAAATAAATCAATTCCACCAGCACCACCATTATTGAAATCAAATGTTTATCTTGAACGTCTTGTAATATCACAAATCGGTTTAGTACCAACTAAACGTGATCGAAAACCATTCGAAATAACAAAAAATCATGAGTAAAGATACATGATATCGGAGAGATAAACCATTTGTTTTTTGAATAGGCAACATGTGAAAAAACCTTCGAATGTCGTCACTCAACGTCCATCTGAAGTTTATAAAAATCAACGAGCTAAAACTATTCGTGTTGGTAAAATTTGTTGGCCGCCACCACTTTATTCCGAAGAAACTGAAAATATCAATCAACAAAAGTTTCCTATTCTTTATTTTTTTTTTCTATTCATACAATCTCTTATTTGTTTCAAGACAAATACTTGTACAACGTCGTATTCAAGATGAAATTCATACAAATGAACAATTATCAACAATTCAAGATGAAAATATTGTTCATGATCAAAAATCAATGTTTGTATTTAAATTCTGCTTCTTTTTTGTTGTATTCATTAATCAATAAAACTTAGGCTTGGTAAAGAAAATTTTCAACAGCATGACAATCAATCATCATTTGTAGGTATGAACATCTTATTCTATTTGATTAACGATTATCCCTTTATGTCAATAAGGATCATGAGTTTATAATGAATCAATTAACTTTGATTTTCTTTTTTTTCTTCTTCATTCTCATCATATGGTTGAAAGAGAGATGCATACTGATACTAATCATGATGTTGGGAAATTAATAAATTATTTTGAAAATTATATTAATGATTTAAATCAAGATTTAAAAGTAAATACTCAAGAAAAAATACCTTCAATTATTTTACCGACAATTATTGATGAAAATGAACCAGTGCAGAAAAATCGAACATTTTCCGATGATATTTATGATCGTCTTGATTACCAAACATTCAGAACTACAAAGACATATTCAAATTGTGAACAATTATCAATTAAAAGTACGAAACGACGGCATCATCATACAAATAAAAAACGCTTACATCGTCGTTGTGCACCAACCTATATTAAAGAATTAAAAGCTTATTTAGCACATCGTGAATCATCTATAAGTGATATTGTTAAAATATCTGATGTAAAAAAATTTAATAATGTCCTTGTTTGGTTATCAAATCAAACAACATCACCATCTTTAATCGAAACATCAATACCAACGCCAATATCATTAATTAAAACAGATAGTCAAAATATAAATCATCATTCATCATCGATTACAACTGATTCTGTTATTGCTATAACACAAGAAATTTCACAGTCATATTCAGGCGTGCTATTTTAATTTTTGTTTCATTTGAAATTAAATTAGATTTCAATAACGTTTTATTTTTATTTATTTAGATCCTACTCCAACATTTACAGATGAAGCATATACAAGTAAATCATCGTCAAGACAATCACTTAGTTATCTAACTTATGATAATATTCAATGGAAATTAAAAATTCGAAAAGAAGTAATAAGATGAAATTTGTACAAAACGTATTATTAGAATATACAGCGCGGTTGTGGATCACTCGTTCGGGACTACCCTGCTTAGGTAGTCAATATCCCACCCTAGTTCAAATCGGAATATTCAACTGAGGTTTGAGCTCGAGGGAGTATTCTATGGTTTTCAAAACGAATTACTAGTAAACCTTCGATGTTGGACAGTGTATGTACGTGGGATGTGGATATTCGATGCACCCTTAAACATACTTTCGCCCTTATCCTCACTAAGCCATACGTCTGCAACGTTTTGTCTAGTCACCATATTCCGAGAAGATCTTACGATTATACATAATAAAATTTGAAAAATCATATAGAAATTTTGTTAATTTTTCTAGGTATTTTCACCTGGTGAAACGTTTGATGAACCAACTCTAATTGAATTATTATATTTACAAATTCTACATGATTTATTTTCATTAGCATGTATTCGTATCAATGATGCAGAACGGACAAATATGAAAATATTTTTATGTAAGTTATATGTACTTTTAGAAAGAGGAATTTTAAATAAATTGTTCGATTTTAGCTACACATGGTATTGTAACTATTGGTGATATTAATTTAATAGAAATTTTATCTACAAAGAAAACTATTATTGAACAAGCACGTCAATGGTCAATCTATTTTTGTCGATTATTTCCAATTTCTGTATGCATATTTTAATTGTGATATAGTCGAATATGAATTTTTATTTTAGATACCAAAAATTCATTCGAATGTAGTACAAATATTAGGTATATCACATTCTGGTATTCGATTAATTAAACAAAATCGAACAACAACAACAAATGGAACTTCATTAAAAGTATTTAAAACATATTCGTTTGATGTATTTCAACATGTTTCATCGGTTCAAAATGATTCTACTATCGATTTATGTTTAAAGAAAAAAACTATTACTATTCATTCACATCAGGTATATTGCCCTTCTTTTTTAAACAAAAATATTTACAAGAATTATCTTTTGATTTATAGATTCAAAAAATTAAACAAATGATTGATAAATTTTTAAAAGAATTTCAAACAAATACAAACAAACAGTCTCAAGTAGTACCTAATCAAGTAAGTTGAAAACAATATTTAATATATGAATACTATCTAGACATTTCGATTCATATATTATCCTCTGATGATGATAGGAGAGATATTGCATACCGTCGTTCTATCATATCATAATTAGTTTAACTATTTTAAGAAGATTATAACAACAACAACACCAAGTGATTTATTCAAATCATCAAGTCAAACTAGTTTAATGAGTTGTAGTCAAACATTCAGTGAATTAATTCCATCTACATCAGTAGAATTACATACACCAAAACCAACTTTATCGATATTACCGACTGGATATTCAATGATGGAATTTGCTTTACAAAATTTTAAACTTCCAAATAAACGGTAAGATATTTAAAAACATATTTCATGAGAAAGATCTTGATTTTTTTTGTATTTTAAAGACGATCAAAAAAAAGTTGGAAGACTTCAGGTAAGAATTTAATTGATCTATATGAAAACTTGATTTCGAGAGAATGAATATAATTTCGAAGAAGTTTGAAATATTTTCGTATCTAAAATTACCATAATAAGAATATTAGATGAGATAATCGTCTTTAAACGATAAATTTATTCTATTAGAATGGACATGGCAAGATTATGCTGATCTTATTAAATGGTCAGAAGTAAGTTTATTTCTTCTAATTATCAAATATTTACATATATATTTTCAGACTCCAATTCAAACACCTCTTCTTCGACATTCATCTAATAATTCCCTTCGTATATCACGACAATGTTTTCTAGCTATTATGCGTTTTATGGGTGATTATCCGATGGCACGAGATCGAACTGAAATTAATTACGTAATATATCTTCTTAAGGTATTTATTTTAATTTGATAGGCCAGTGTCTTTATTGTTGTTTTGTTTTGCTTGACATAGAATATGCATAAACATAGAATATTAATTGATGAAGTTCTATGTCAAATTATAAAACAATTAACTGATAATAAAAGTATAATAATTGATAGTATGCAACGTGGTTGGAAATTACTTGCAATTATACTTAATTATTTTATTCCAAGTGATCATTTAAAACCATATTTCCTAAAATATCTTCATGATAATCAAAATCATGATGAAAAATTAGGTAAAAAGAACATTCTTTTAATCAATTAAATATATAGAAATACGTATTCTTCTAGTGAAATTATGTTTAAATCATTATGAACAAACATTAAAATATGGTGGAAGAAAAACTATACCAAATAAAACAGAAATTGATCTCATAACAAATGTATAATAATTTTTATTTATAAGAAAAAACATTTTCCTTGATTTATTTTAGAGTGGCGAAAATACTGAAAAACGCCAGATATTTTTATTACCAGGTGGATTTCCATTAACCATATCAATAACATCATCAATGGTAAAAAAATGTAGTAGTTTATCTTTTTTATGCAAACGTAGATTTAGTCATGAGTGAAATCGATTCGATTAGAACATGTTGAAATTTAAAAACGCGGTTATCATTCAAATTTTTAGTCATACATGCTTTAATGAAAATAAAATTCAGGAAAGATAAGCAAATGATGAATTATATATAAATCGCTTTATTTGGGTAGTCTGACTATATTGGTCCTGACCACTTTGAAAGAAAATTAAATACTATTCTGAGCAGCTACATATAAGGAAAATAAGGATCAATTAAAAACTTGTTTTTTCTTCTTGTTATGACTCTTCTGTGGTATAATATTTGTAATCGAAATTGATGAATTCGTCGAAGTATATTATGGAATTATTGTAGAAGTTTAAAATGCGTTTCCTACGGCAACTTCTTGATACTGCTTGAATAGATGCTTTTACTCTAAAAAAATGGGTATTTGGTACTATCGGAAACTCTTTCATGGTTTCCGACCTCTTCGGAAACCACAAGAAACATTTCCGAATCGCTCGGAAACCATAAAAGAGTTTCCGATAGTAACAAATACCCATTTGTTTTAGTGTATTTACGGTAGTGATGACGTATTGTATTTATTATGTTTTTGTACATTAGATAACATTGAATTAATTCCTGTTCAATATTGCTCAATCGCTTTGTTAAAATTTTTCTACATTTTTGTCCTAATGTTGAAAGATCAAAGAAGGAGTGTTATCTTTATTCAATAATTTGACTTTGTTTAGGTAATTGCTGATTGTCTTAATCTTCTATGCGAACAATTTAATATATCAAATGTATTAGAAAGTAGTGAATATTCTATTTTTATTATAAGTGCCTCAAGTATATTTTTTTTCTAAATTTTTATAACTTTTAAATTGTTTTTTTATGTAAATAGAATATTCATCTCGTTTATTAAATCTAACTGAATATCTTTTCGATATTTTCAATGATTGTATTCGATTAAATATAGATGATTTTCATTTGATTATTAAACGTATGCTTTGGTTTACTATTCCATTTCAAATGAATCATGATGATAAAAAATCTGAAATATTTATTGATTTTATGTATCATCAACTTATACCTGAATTTCTTGATGGAACAATGATTATTTTAAATAATAATAATAATCTTTCCGATGATCTTATGGTATAAAAATCAAAATCGAAATTTTAATAAAATAAATTCATATAATTTATTCTAGCAAGAAATTTCGTTTATGGTAGCTCTTCAATATCGTGCGTCAAATAAAACGGATCTACCATCTATGTAAGTAAATATATATATTCAAGATAGTTGATTCTGACAGTGAGACTTTAAGTATAGAAACTAAACTTTTGCATCGTATTTATTTAACAAAATCTACTAGAAATTTCTATTTATTGAAAACTATAATTATTTATTAGAAAAGAAATAAAATATCTTCTTCCGGCAAATGTATTAAAATTAAAAGATATTCATCCTCAACAATGGACAATAGCTATTCATGATAAATTTAATTCATCTGTTGCCATGATGTCAACAACTGAAGCTAAAATGAAATTTTTAGGTAATAAGAATAATCTTTTGTTCTTCCTATACGTGATTTGTTTCAGATCTTATACAAACATGGCCTTTATTTGGTACAACATTCTTTACTGTTCAGGTTTATAATCATTTTATTCTGTTTCTCGTAGAGAAGAGTCCAATAAATACAAATTGTTTGTTTGATTGCTTGCTTGTGTGTCCGCAGGGTCAAAAACACATCCAAAACTGATTTTTCGAAAAAGACATTCCTAGAGGTATTTCGAAGCGGGAAGTTCGAATCTGAGGTCTGTTGGGTGACCATGGTGAGGGGTAAAGGTCAAAAAATCATCAGAAACCGATTTCTCACGGTTTTCCCAGTAAATGTGAAGAGGATGCATTTCTACGAGAAAGAGCTGAGCGAGTCTTCGGACGAGCGTTACCTGTTATATAAAATTTTGTTTTTCTAGTCAATCGATAATTCATTAATTCGATCACCTTGTTTAATTGGTTTATGTAAAACTAATATTTTATTTCTTGATTTCTATACACGAGTAAGTTAATTAATTTTTTTTCATATTTAATAATAAAAATTTCTAAATAAAGGAAACAATGTCTGCAATTCTCTACAATGATATTGTATCAATTCGTCGTTATCAATCTACAATTGATATAAAATATGAAAGTTTAAATCAGATACATATTCTTCAATGTAAACTTGATAAAGTAAGTTAATTATTCAAAATAAACTTAACCTCGAATTATATATATATTTAACTAGGCTCAAGATTTCGTTGCATTAATTGAACGTTATTTAAGTTTAATTGGACGAACTGTAACATAAAAATTCATATTATAATTACACATGTGAACTATTTTTATTTCAAAAGAATTTTATATAATCTCGCTGTTTCATGTTCTAAAAAAAATCATGTTTGTACTTATCATAAATTATAAATGAAAACAGGCCAGACCGAATACGAGACATTATTTCTTTTGATCTCAATTCGTGATAAATAAGTATAAAAATAATTAAATATGGTCTAATACGCAATAAAAATGTATTCATTATCTAACTTTTAAACAATCAGTAAGGTTTACTCTGTAAACTAAGCGATCAATTTTAGTATATATATATACAACTAAAAACAACGTCTGCAGAATTAGTACGATTATAACAAACCTTTTCTAATGCGATATATATTAGCATTAAATTCTCACATGTATAGCATATGTTGACAACTTAATGATGGCTATTGAGTACAATGTCGTATCGATTTGGAGTCTCGCATATCATTATAATCAAGGCGTAATGTGTTTATAGTCTACATTCAAAATAGTTCTGTTTTTTTTTGTCTGTGTTGTTTGTTATTTCCATAATAACTCGACCAAAATATGCCAAAAGCGAAAAACAAATGAGATGAGAAATTATCTTGATATAATGTCACTTAGAGAAAATTTACAAATATTTAAATGTATCTTATCGTTAAATGATTATAAAATTTTAGATATAAATTGTATTCTCTATGCACGTTGAATAAATTGCAAGATAGAGATGAAAAATAAAGAAACAAGCAAATGTTGAAGATTTTCTCTTCGTCAATTATTACCATATATCAAGTAAGCATATTTTCAACGAAATAATTCAATTTGAGATGTCCGACAGAACTTAAGATTAAGCTAGAGAATCTTTTTTTTTAATGATATTAACAACTGAACCAATAGAATAAATTTGTACTCATATAATGAAATAATTTTTTGATTTATTTAGTATTAAAATAGCTGTAATAGATATGTTTATTGAGTAATTTGTATTCTTCTTATGTGGCATTACGTATATTTTCCACAATGTAAAAGTTTTGTACTTAATTGGATATGAAGAATGATGTTTATTAATTCTATTGAATTTGTTAACATACGTCAAAACATGTGTAGTGAATATTTGTCAGATCAGTAGACTTATGGGAAAAAAAAGACTCTACTTTTAATTATCATTACTATGAAATTAATAGCAGAGAATTAGTTTTTTTTCTCAATAAGAAGATAAGATGCTTATCTTAAATAATAGTTGATCTGTAAGACGGGCTTAATTAATATTAATATTTTTATTAATCAAAATATACATCATTTCTCAATTCTTTGTATATTATTAAGAAATCGGAAACATCGAAAAATATTTAGTATTGTCCTTCTGATGACTTTTTGTATTAATTTTGTGTCTTATTTTTTCTTTATGCTAATTCGAGTTACTCTAATAGTTATTTTATGTATTAAAAAAAAAGTTTACTGATTGGAAGTATTTATAATTTCCTTTTCTATTCATTCTAATAAATGACATCTTTTTTACTAGTAATTTGATCTACATCATGAAAAGATTCTACTCTACGCTTCGATAATATATATTTAGAATATATTAAAGTAAGTCAGTCATAAGATCTTATTTTAAAAATAGATTAACATGACATTCAACTTTAGGAACACAATTAGAAGAGCGATTGTTCTCTTGCAATCTATGTTAACCTATATAGAAATAATAAATACTCGGACGAAAAAGAAAATGTCCTGAGTGTTATATGTAGAATTATTTCTCTTAATATTATTATATTTGGATCTATTCGAACAGAATATATAATCAAGAATCAAATTACCACATGTCTACAGAAAAGACTATATAAAATGTCACAATAAAATATTCAAACATAACATCTTATATTTTCAGTTCATAGAAGAAAAATTAATTATACAATATGTTCAATAACATCAAATCAATGAAACAGTTATATTGGTCTGTCTAGGCTAAGCAAAAAATTGAAAAATAATTTATTATTAAAAATATCAAAGTAAGTAGTTAAAAAAATTACACTAGATCAGATGATTAACTTAAGTCATCGAACTATCGTCATATATCATTGCTATTAATAATATCGATTGATTAATTAACATTCAACAACTTGCTAATGTAGTAAAATATACATGATTAGATAGATAATTATGAGGATATAAATATCACTTTTTACATTTCACATATAGTGTGAAGTGTTGAAAAACAGATTTTAATATATTGTCACGTTCTCGGCAACTTTATTCTTTTTATGTCGAATGAATAGTTAAATATAAAGAATGTGTGACTATTTTAATTTTTGATGAATGTGTAGAGACGGAACAAAAAAACATTTTCTCGGCACTTCAAAAACAGTAAAAAAAACTAATGAAAACATGATTCTTGTTATGTCGAACAGTTCAGTACCTTTAATTATATATTAAATATATAATGACAAAAAATGTATGCGACAACTTCATTATAGATTAAAATATAACGCCTTGAAGTAATACGTGTGAAACGATGTTGTAGAGAAGATTTCCAAAAGTGTAACACCCTTCTTCTTTTTTTCTTCTCCTAACTATAGAATGTAGATCAGGAGAAAAAAGTTCTTTTTGCTATTTTGAATAGCAAAGAACATACGAAATGTAGTATATAATCAAATCAAACAACGTTGTTATTTGTTTTTTTTACAGATCTTTTTGTTGTTTTATATTGAGTATATAACATATTCAAGTATTTTATCAAAATCCTAAATAAATTGATTAATTATTCCAAATAACTTTATCAGACAAAAGCTATCGAACTTATTAAGGTAAATTTCACTTTAAAATAATTTTTTACTATTCGAGTAAGTTGGGTAGACAATCACTCATAATTTTACAAATTTTTTTGAAATCATCGTGACACTGTTCATTATTATTTATTATAAAAAAAAATATATATTTACATTATCTCGCAGTTATTTCCTTCCTTATTCGACGTCATTAGTGCATATATACGAATACGACTTCATGTGAAATCTATATTATATTTTTAATCATGACAGAAGTAATAAATCAAATTTTATGAGATGTAATAACATTCAAATAAAATATTTTCTTGACATTCTTTTCAAGTACTTTTTTAAGTTCGAGATATCATTAAGTTGTTTTTTTATATTTTTAGAATGTTGTATTGTGGCAAAATTAATCGGACAAATCTTCAGATTGATTATTTACAAAAAATTTATTTTGAAAAAAGTTGGGCTTGGTGGCTAAATCATATGGGTAAATAAAATTTAGGAATTTCTCGCTCTCGCTCTCGATGTATACATCAATCTTTAATTTATATTCTTTTTAGGCACATTTGTTGTATTTATAATTGGTTTTTTTGGAAATATGTTGTGTCTTATATTTTTATGTCGCCGACGTAAGTTTAATACGAATATTTTTCTAGAAAACTCTATTGATTTTTATTATCTTATTAGCTTTCATACGAAATTCTTATACACAATATTTAATTGCATTAGCTATTGTAGATACGGGAGCAATTTTTTTTGAAAGTAAAGATAATATTTTGTTTTTTGTTTCTTTTTTTTTCGAAACAATATCCTTTTAGCAATTACTGCACTTGATGATTTATATCAATATCAAAGCAAAGATAGAAGAGCTTTAATTCAACATACTATCGTTTCATGTAAATTATTTTATTATATAAGATTTATATTTTATTCTATGAGTTCTTGGTAAGATTAGTTTTTTAATGTGAGTATATATATATTTATTTTTGTTATTAGGATTGTTGTTGCCTTAGCTGTTGAACGATTAGTAGCCGTTAAATATCCATTATGGTCAAAACATATATGTAGCGTTACAAATGCACGTCGAATTATATTGATCATGTTCTTATTTACAATGGCTATACAATCGTATCATCTTGTTATTAAAGGTCTTGATTGTTCATCATCATCAAAAATAACAACAAAACTAAATTGTCGATGTAAAACTTTACTTGGTTACGCAACAATAGATATTATTTTTACAATCTATATTTGGCGACTTGTTTTAATGACTTTATTACCATTAATTATTATTATAACTGTTAATATACTTATTATGAGTAAATTATTTAATAAAAATTGTTTAATTGACCATACAAATCGAGTGAATAATGCACGCCGAAAAGTAGTTTTACGTTATAAAGTATCTCGTATGTTAGTAATTGTTTCGACAATTTATCTTCTTTTTCATTTACCTGGTTCAACTTTAGAAGTTGTTAAATTTCTTCTTGTACATGCCTTTCGTTTATGTGATCTTAAATGGCAATATTATATATATATTGCACAAGATATATTTGATTTATTAACAAATTTTAATTATGGAATTAATTTTTATTTATATATAATCAGTAGTAAACATGTAAGATGTGCATTAATACATAAAAATTCAATATTTCGTGTATCAACAACTCGAAGTAAAGAAAATTGGCGAAAATCAAAAACGTTTCTATCATCATATATTTATTCGTCAAGAAAACCTCACGAACGTGATATTAATGCAAGTTTAGCTGGATGTGAAACTGTAACATCTGTATAATAATGTTTATATTACTTACTAACTCTCTCTCTATATATACATACCAATACTAATCAGAGTCTTTTTTTATAACTTATTTTGTCTATACATATATTGACAATAAATAAAAATTATGTTGTTTTATATTTATTAAAATGAAGATAATATATATGTATATTTCTTTTTATGTTTCAAAGTCTAACAATCAACTGTCTTTTTAATTCTATACAATTTAGTAACTATTTTCTCGTCTAGATGTGCATGACATATAAGTATTGAGACAGGAAAAGTATATGGTAAAGCTTCAAAGGAAGACATCACTTATCTTAAAGTGACGGAATGCTAATAATAAAGATGTTTGTTATTGTTAATTAATAATATCAAACATATCAGAATTAAATTAGAGCTTTTACTACTAACAAACTAATAATTTTAGAATCATAGTTTGTCCCTGATGAACTTCAAAATAAACGTACTCGAAGTTTATAATAATCATCATATTTTCCAGGTATATCTCATTCAAGATTCTAATAATTACTTTTTTCTGCATCTGCTACCATCATTGAATCGTATTTGTGCTTAGAGTACTATTTAAATATGTATGTTATGAAAACAAGGATAAATATTCTTTTTTCTTTCCTTCAAAAATTCAATGAATTGTATTTAACCATTTTGAAAAATTGAATCAGGTTCTATTAGACTTTATGACTCTATAGCATGTTGTTATATAACGATACGAACGTTTTTGCTATCAAAAAATTATTGACAAAACTGAGAATATGTTGGACACTATCACGAGAAGAAAATAAGATTTTTTAAGATAGACCAGGGAGTTTCACACCCACTACGGATATCCGTCTAAATAGACGTATATATATAATAAAGAAAGAAAATAAAAACTGTTATCTCGCATGCGTTGGTTGTAAAATTATAGAGTATATAGATACGTATGTGTGATTGTCTCTAACACACGTGATAATCTTTTTTAGATTATAGATCGAAAATCATCTAAATCTTACACTTGGCAGAGTTCAGCTAAATTAAGGAAAGTACCTAAAGATAAAAGTTCAGTTTAGGAGAAAACTTTTCATATGCTCTCATGAACAAAATTATATCCAGGATGTTTTTAAGATATATATATATTTATGAGTTGACTGACACTTTCATTATGTTGATTTTGTGAATCACGCATAATTAGACTTTTTTTTTGAAATCATCACTAAAAGTTGTATCAGTAATTATTGAGAAAAATAACATGAATCTTTCGTTACTATTTTTATAAAACTTAATATACATAAGAAATTCTTGTTAGTCTCTCATGTCTTTTAAAGAAAGAGAAACTTTAGCTATATATTTTTGCGAGGAAAATATATAAGAAAAAATTTATAAAAGAAGAGAAAATAACAATTGAGGCAACTCTGAGTCTAATATTTGAGTACTTGAAATTGTTTCCAATAGTTTAAAATAGAGCAATATGCTAAATGTACTAAAACTTGACGTCTATTGGATGACCCACTTCAGCTTTAATTAGAAAGATATTAGGTTCCCAATGTTATATCCTGAGGTCATTGAATCATATTACAACATAATTATGTTGTCAATGTTATTTCCAGAGGCCATCCAATCACGTTGCAACATAATTATGTTGATCACTCCGGTCATATATCTTGCAATCTCAATGGATAAAAATAGACTGCGTGAGTGTTATTGCTAGGTCTTCAGACTGGAATGTCTTTTTGACTCGGATGTCCTTTTAGTTGGGATATCTTTTCAACTGGAATAGCACGTCAGCTAATAATGTTTTCTCAAATGAAGTGCCCTTTAGGGAAAAACCTGTTTTCCTCCATGTAATAAAGCACATTTAACTAGATCATATCTATTAATATAAATGAAAACCTATTATCTATAAATACTTTTACTGGAAAGTTATTGTACATACAATGTCAAGCTTATGCAACTAAATATACTACCGCGTCTAATTAATGAGATTGTAACGAATATTTTGATGATTCAAAGATAAGAGAATAATTTGAATAAAATTACACAATACGAATAAAAAAAATCACTTTGCTAAGAAGATAATGAATATTTTCTAAAAGATGCTCTCTTTCGCATGGACAATCTTTAATATTTTGTCACCTCCCCATTAAAGAAAAATATACATATTTTATTATTTCATATTTTGATAGATTAAGATGACATTGATCATCAAGTAAGGACATAAATCGGGTACTTTTATTCAATGAACTTAAATACAAACGATGAAAAATGCTCTAATGTTCATGAACTTTCAATCTTAATGTTGAGTTTATTATTAGATGACCTATCTACTTCTACAGCAACATTTCGCTTAATTTCAACTGAAATTTAACAATAATATTTTTTCCATCATGTCTACAATCATAATTATGGATAACATATCAATAGCATAATCACCTTTGATTTGTTTCTCATCTTAATAAAATAAAAATTATTAAATACACTACATATTTTTCATAAATTGTCTGATTATTACTAATAGACGATCATAAATTTATTAATAGATCTGTTTCGTGAGTATTATCAGTACAACCCCACAGCTCTATGTCATTGTAAACGAAAGAAATCGTCTACTATCGGTTCATACAAATGGAATACTTAAATACATTTCCGGATTTCGTGAAGTGGCAATGTAGTCATCTTAAGATTAAGTACAGGGCAGACATAATACTTACACCCACACATCCTGCTCTATTGCTTTTATCATCATGCGAAAATACTGCATTTAGGTCGTGTATTAAATAATCTGACATAAAACACTGCATGAGATATAAATGAGAATTATTACATAAGCCCACAAGAGAAAACAAAGAAAATTTATATTGATATAACGCTATGAGACAATTAATAAAATAAAATTATAATGACATTGCTTGTTGTCTATATTAATAATATAAATGTACTTAGATATAATATTATACGAACGAAAAACATGAAGTTTCTAATCAAACATCAATCAATAGAATAATTCATTCATACTCTTACAATAAATATTTTGAACAAACATAAAATGACATTGATAGTAAATAAAAACAGATAGTTACAATAATTATTTAAGGAATAGAAATAGGTTTATAATTTGTAGGACATACATCTATTGTTATAATAGGTAATACTTGATTATTATTTCTTCTATTAATCCAATGTTGCCATCGACCGAAAAATATGTTACCAAGAACATGAACAAGTTGCTTACGAAAACGTTCTGAAGCACAACAATAGATATAGAATGCTACCTACATTTTGAAAGGAAAATATCAATGTTTTTCTTTTAGATATTTCAAACAAAATACTTACAGAATACATAGAATATTCTATTAAAATTGTTATTGTAAAAATAAGTCCATTGGAAACAAGTACGAATGGATCTGTTGTATATATATTAAGTATATATATATAAAAGGAGGTAAAGGGAATAATAGCAATTACAATATAGCCAATATAAACTAATAACATTGCTGTCAATTGTCGATCTCGACTTAAACGTACTACGTTTACGTTTTGACTAGCTAATGTTCGAGCTTTATAGAAAGCTAATACTGAAAATATAATTAAGATACTCAATGGTAAACATCCATAGAGAACTGGTAAAGTAAAATGAGAAAAATAAATTGAATAGATTGGATTAAAAACTGCACATGCACTAGAAGATGTATCCCAATAAATGAAAGTGAATAGACTATGTATAAACCAGAATATACATGCAATAAGAATAAAACGTTGAGCTAATCGTAGATTACTTAAATGTCGATATTTACTCATTGATAAAACTTGATCAATTGTTGCTAAACACATACTTGTCAACCAAACTGATAAACACCAATTTGATGCAAAGAAATATGTTTTACAAAACCAGAGCATAGGTCTTGGATCAATAGAAAATCCATCAGAAAGTATACGTACAAATAATGCTGTTAATAATTGACCCATTCCGACTATTGAAGCAAATGTTAAATAAAATGCACATGTTGTTTCTCGAAATGTTTTTAATGTTGTAAAAATAATTATATTTAATATTCCACCAATTATACCTATGATTAAAATAAATAAACCAAAATATGCGGTAACTTCTTTTAATGCAAATTTTAAATCAAGTATAGTTGGCATAATTAGATATCCTTTCCTATAGTTTGAAGAAGAGATTGTAAAATTTCACATCAAATATAAAGAAAAGATTAAATTCATAGACGAAATAAATTTAATAGATATCTACCTGGAGGTGTCAAAAAAAGATTTTATGAACAGATTATTGAATGCAATGAAAAAATGTCATATTTTTTTGCGTAATTATAAACGCAGCCATGTAAATGTCGACAAAATTAAATATTGGTGTATATGACAACCATAGGCGGGCCACTAGAGGGCAATTGGTATATCCAAAAAGATTAAATATAATATTTATTTATGTATATAGTAAAGTATTATTGAATGAAATAAACTTCAGGATATAACGAAACATTATTCAACTAGCTATGATGATTTAAAAGCTAAACGATCAGAAGATGAATTTATCAGACGCAACTAAATTCATTCTCGAAAACAATTTCCATGTAGCATTATCATCCTACGTGAATGAATTATATAAAATTCTTTGTACTATACCAATGAATTCGTATGAATGTGGACAAAGTTTCTCATCGTTAAGAAGATTGAAAACTTATTTAAGAAATAGTATTGGGCAAGATAGACTGTCACGCATTGTTCTTTTGAGTATTGAAAAAGATTTTGTTGCAAAAAAGATAGAAGAAAAATGATTTTTTTGAATCAATATTTTTTTTAAATAATGTTTTTTATTTACTTCGTGCCAGTATGAGAAAAGACCAAACAAATAAATTACATTAGAAGAAAGACTGGTTTGTTCGTAGCATGAATGTAGGTAGTAGCTATGTAGTATTTTCAGAATTTTGGAAACACTTTCTTTTTATCATAGTAAGGTATTAGAGCCATACCTGTCGTTGAGCGTCTGGCCCCCCTATGAATGGCAGCTGCAGGTCGCGAAAATATTTCATCATAATTAAATTTTACAAATACATATAATATTCTAAAAGTTAATAAACTATTCCTTTGATTTCAACATATTCTTTCTTCATGGCAATATTCCACACATTCCTATGATATAATAAAAGCTAATTTTTTGCCTCGAAGGATTGTTTAATATAAATGAAATGATGCATGAAATTCATAGCAAACTGATTTATTAGTATTATTTTTTATATATTAAAGTGACAACGTATATATATTTAACAATGATTGAATAGATACAATTTTTATATAAAACAAAACAAAAACAAAAAAAATAATAAATTCCGTTGTACAAAGAGATTACTAAAAATAATAATTTCTATTCATTTTCGTTTTTTATTAATACGAAGAAGTGCTAAGAAAGTTTTTAACGACTTCTTTTTTTCTATTGGTGATAATGATGGATAACATAGATCATTAGTAATCTCATCTGTTGTTGTTTCGATGATTGTTTGTGGCAATTGTACGGGTAATGTTTCAAATGCTGATTTATAACAGACTGATGTTGTTTTATTGTTATGATAGTCTGATGATGATGATGATAATTGATCAGAGAATCGATCAATCATACATAATACTGTTGATTCTTCAGTTTTTCTATTCGAATTCATAGGTAAACATGATAAATTATGATTTAATGTCCAATGAACTTCACGACAATATTGACTACAATATGACATTGTATGACAATGAGGACAATTTTCAAATTGTATTTTCTGTAGAAAAAAAAACAAATCAATCTATTAGAAATTTTTTTTTTCTCAGTACTACTTACATTATTTTCTATCATTTGACATAATGAATTTGAACATTTACGATATAGATGATTTTCGTTATTATCTTTTATTTGATTATGTGGATAATCTTTTATAGGTGATCGATGATAATATCTTCGTTTTTTTTGATCAAACATATTGTTAAGAATTTGTTCAAGTGCATAAGATATTGATGGATCACGTGATAAAAATTCATTTCGTTTATTATATTTTTGTTTCATTATATTTAATAATTCTCGAAAATGTTCATTTTCACGATAAAA